TCACAATGTCTTATAAAAGATGGCAAGCTAATGTATCATGATAATAACCACTACTTATCTTCTAATAATCTAATTTAATATTGGAACGAAAATTGCAATTATACCGCAAATGTTTCTTCTGAACGAAATATCGAAATTATTTTAAGGAGAAATAACGATTATTTCTAACCTTAGGAATGAAGTATGATAGGATGAATTGTGAAGAGTAATGATAAACGGAAAAATAAAAGTGTCCAGGGATGGGAATTGAACCCACAGTGTTCCGCTTACCGGGCAGATGCCATGTCCACTAGACTACCCTGGACATACTTTTCCGTTCGTAAATATTATATAAAGTAATTTATACTTTTTTATTTATCTCCTTAAAATAATTTCGATATTTCGTTCAGAAGAAACATTTGCGGTATAATTGCAATTTTCGTTCTATAATCATAAGCCGCATTATATTGTATTATAATTTAATATTACTCAACGATTGTATAATCATTTCTGCTGATAGGCAGAGCTGGTAGTTCAAATAGACTAAGCTCCCATTGGCCAAACAATCAGAGAAAAGATTGTCAATATTTGACTTGTTACGTTGCGATGGCATATGAAACTGACATTTTGTCTTTCTTCCTGAAGTTGGAAGCAATAAAGAATAATACTGTGGGACATCCTATCTTGAATTCTCTTGACTTTGCTTTGTCTTTTTAAAGATACTGATTCCAAGAAGATTAATCAAACATTATTGATTTACAAGAGAGAGAACAAAATAAACTTATAAGATAGTAAACAAAGAGAAATTTATCTTTTTTTCTAACGGTTAGCGCCTATTTACTTGTGACCTTACACACATACTCTGAGGTAACAATTAATAAATCAAACTTTAAATATATACATAACAAATTTGATCTGCGTATAACTCATATTTTAGGCAACAGTGTTTCTTCCAATATTCTGAGTAGCCTTTAAAAAGGAATATCCAAAGTATCTTCTTTATATGTGTCTGTGTGTGTGTTGCAAAGATCTTATACTTTTGAAAATGAAGATTAGAGAGCAAAGAGTCTTCAGTCATAAATGGCGATTCATACATGAATTCTTAATTGAGATAGGTTTTTACTTTTAACTATCCCATTCACAAGGTTATATTTAAACTATACATGACTCTTCTCCAGTACTGTAGGACGTCTAGAGCTGAAGCTGCCAAATGATGCCGCAGCCATGCGGATTAAATAACACCCAAATTAATGATTGGATCACGCAGTAATTCTGACTTGGAGATAGATTTTTACTTCTAACTATCTCATTGACAAGGTTATATTTAAACTATACATGACTCTTCTCCAGTATTGTAGGACGTCGAAGCTGCCAAATGATGCCATGCGGATTAAATAAAACCCAAATTAATGATTGGATCACGCAGTAATTCTGACTTGGAGATAGATTTTTACTTCTAACTATCTCATTGACAAGGTTATATTTAAACTATACATGACTCTTCTCCAGTATTGTATGACCTCGAAGCTGCCAAATGATGCCATGCGGATTAAATAACACCCAAATTAATGATTGGATCACGCAGTAATTCTGACTTGGAGATAGAATTTTACTTCTAACTATCCCATTCACACAAGATTATATTTAAACTATACATGATTCTCTTCTCCAGTACTGTAGGACGTCGAGAGCTGAAACTGCCAATAGATGCCGCAGCCATGCGGATTAAATAACACCCAAATTAATGGATGGATCACGCAGGAATTCTGAATTGGAGATATATTTTTACTTCTAACTACACCATTCACAATGTTATATTTAAACTATACATGACTCTTCTCCAGTACTGTAGGACGTCGAGAGCTGAAGCTGCCAAATGATGCCGCAGCCATGCGGATTAAATAACACCCAAATTAATGGATTGCCCTCCGATCCATCATCCAAATGATTTCTTTGAGGGAAACACCTCCGCTAATGGGAATTTAATTAGCATTCCGGCCGCTCCTCCCTCGGTACAGTACTCTTGGTTGGCCTTGGTACATCTTGATCTTCATCTACAACCGGGCTTTCTCCGCACGTCCACTTTATTTTATCGCTATCTTCCACTTCACATTCATTTTTTGTCATTCTGATACAAAGTCACGATCTATGGTACTAGGGATTGTATGGTTTAGGTACTAAGAGTACTATCTTATATCTCCCAATCTAAGATACTTAACTTTCTATCACACACCAGCTCACAGAGGAGGGTCTTGCCACTAGCGAAAATCCCGGCCCATATCATAATCGACTGCGGATTTTGGCGGTGTTCGTCGATAGCCGACCTCAGCGGACCAGCTCTTGTCTTGGTGGTTGTGCGTTTGCTCGGGGGCGAATAGCATTCCGTCCGTGAATAGGATTTGCTTCCATTGCTGATCAATGGCCCGATACTTGCGTTGGCGGAATCCCCCCAGCCGTACGCGCTTGTTCTCATCCGTGAGGAGTTGAAATATTTGGGATTTTTACGCCTTGAAATTTAGTTTATTTCACGCTATTCGATGTACTGATGACTTGCTCATGCCGGTCTCATGGGCGATTTTTCTCATGGACACCTTCGAATTCCGTTGAAGTTGCTTGTTGATGATCTTACAGTTGGCGGTAGAATTATATTTAAACGCTACCAATGGACTTAGGATTCACTCAGTGAGCACGTCGAAGTGTTGAGTTGCATCTAGAAACTAAGATGACTGAACAGGGTTACTTTATCCACAGGTATTTATTCATTGTCTCGGGCAGGTGAAGAATAAAGAGAGTCTTAGATAAATTTATTATTTATTTCAAAGGTTCTTGCAGGAATCCAGGACGGCAGCACGGTTGATACCAGTAGAGTATATCACAGTAGATGGGTCATCTAAATACCAAGGTGTCTGTGCTGGTAGATGGTTGATATACCAGTTGAATATAAGATATCAGAACATAAACAGGTGGAGTTGGGTCATCGTCGAAGTTTTGACTGGCGTCTCGAGACTAGGAAAACTGTACATGGTTATTTTAGCCACCGATATTTCTTCATTGCCTCGGGCAGGCGAATAATATATAGAGTCTTAGATAAATTTATTTACTTCAAAGGTTCGACAGTTCTTGTAGGAAGTCAGGACGTCGAAGTTGTGACTGGCATCTGGAGACTAGGAAAACTGAACAGGGTTATTTCAGCCACAGATATTTCTTCATTGCCTCGAGCAGGTGAAGAATAGATAGAGTCTTAGATAAATTTATTTACTTCAAAGGTTCTTGCAAGAAGTCAGCACGTCGACCCAGCCTGGAACAGCTCCCCCGGGAGCGGCCAATTAAATGACGGGGCCGATTCAATCTCCGCGCTAAGCCCAGTATCGAAGATCTTATCCGCGATAAGTCCGGCCTGGGATGGGATTAAGTAAAGTCTCGTCGGGATTAAAAACTCGATCTCTCCTCTTAATGGAAGCTTTTTGTAGAGATTAGATGGAGTTCTTCTCCCTCGGGCATTGTCCCGACACCTTCGGCTGAAGCATTCTGCCTGAAACATCGCTATTCACAGAGTCCATTTTTTAATGGCGTCGAGTTTCTTTTATTTATTTTGTAAATTCATCGCCATAAACTTTTATTCCTTCTTCAAGATGATGTCAGGTGATTCCTTCTCATGTAATCTGAATAAACAATAAGTAAGGGCAGTAGAAATTGTTTATTTTTAAGAAGAATCATACGCGTCTATAATAGTTTCGAATTTTGAAAACTTATATACATTTATAACATCTCTAGCTTTTCCTCGTCGTGTAATATTGTAAGGTAGAAATTTAGGAAAGACAAATCTCAGAACTACACTTCAATTTATTTAATGTAAAACTGAATTAAAACTAATAAAATATCAGAGAGGCAATGAGAAAATTTAAACAGTATATCAAAATACAAATATCGAAATTTAAAAAATATTTTCATAGAATAATAAAAATACTTTTACAATATTGCCACGTGGAAAATTAGGGAAGGCCACACAACTTAGGGATAAGATAACAATTTATTTCAGGCAAGGGCAAACTATGAATGGTAAACAAAAGATAAGCCACGAGGGAAATTTATAGAGTAGCAAAATATAACATAAAAATGACCACTTTGTTAATAAAAATAATAAAATTAATAAATACTTTGTTACAATATTTACAAACGTAACTAATTTTATAGAACTACAGGCTTGATCCCAAGTGGAAGAAGTTTTAACCAAATTCTCTATTACAGGCAATATAAAAGTGAATAGATTAATTAAACCTCTATATGTAAAACGAAAATTGCAATTATACCGCGAATGTTTCTTTTATAAAAATCGAAATTTATTTTTAAAGAGAAATAGCGACATTTCTAACTTTAAGGATGAAGTATGGAATGGTGAAACACGAAGAGTAATGGCGAACGGAAAAATAAAAAGTGTCCAGGGGCGGGAATCGAACCCACACCCTTCTGCTTACCGGGCAGGTGCCTTGTCCACTCGGCTACCCTGGACGTATTTTTCCGTTCGTAACTAATACTTAAAGTAACATTTAAAATACAATATAACGCGGCTGATGATTGTAAAACGAAAATTGCAATTATACCGCGAATGTTTCTTTTATAAAAATCGAAATTTATTTTCAAAGAGAAATAGCGACATTTCTAACTTTAAGGATGAAGTATGGAATGGTGAAACACGAAGAGTAATGGCGAACGGAAAAATAAAAAGTGTCCAGGGGCGGGAATCGAACCCACACCCTTCTGCTTACCGGGCAGGTGCCTTGTCCACTCGGCTACCCTGGACGTATTTTTCCGTTCGTAACTAATACTTAAAGTAACATTTAAAATACAATATAACGCGGCTGATGATTGTAAAACGAAAATTAAAATTATACCGCGAATGTTTCTTTTTTTTTTTAAATCGAAATTTATTTTCAAAGAGAAATAGCGACATTTCTAACTTTAAGGATGAAGTATGGAATGGTGAAACACGAAGAGTAATGGCGAACGGAAAAATAAAAAGTGTCCAGGGGCGGGATGGACAAGGCACCTGCCCGGTTAGCAGAAGGGTGTGGGTTCGATTCCCGCCCCTGGCCACTTTTTATTTTTCCGTTCGCCATTACTCTTCGTGTTTCACCATTCCATACTTCATCCTTAAAGTTAGAAATGTCGCTATTTCTCTTTGAAAATAAATTTCGATTTTTATAAAAGAAACATTCGTGGTATAATTGCAATTTTCGTTTTACAATCATCAGCCGCGTTATATTGTATTTTAAATGTTACTTTAAGTATTAGTTACGAACGGAAAAATACGTCCAGGGTAGCCGAGTGGACAAGGCACCTGCCCGGTGAGCAGAAGGGTGTGGGTTCGATTCCCGCCCCTGGACACTTTTTATTTTTCCGTTCGCCATTACTCTTCGTGTTTCACCATTCCATACTTCATCCTTAAAGTTAGAAATGTCGCTATTTCTCTTTGAAAATAAATTTCGATTTTTATAAAAGAAACATTCGCGGTATAATTGCAATTTTCGTTTTACAATCATCAGCCGCGTTATATTGTAAACCTCTATATGTTACTCTTCTAAATACAAGATTCTTCTATCATAATTTAGAGTATATTAAAAGATCGTAGTGAAGAAGAATCTAGTCGAAGAAAAAGATGGGAAAAATGGCCGAACAAGAAGAATATTGAAATAGTAAATACAAGGTACATGAGACGAAATGATTTATCCAAAATATCAAATTATTTTTGAATATATATGTTATAGGATGATATATATAATAAGCCTAATCGCTTAAATTCTGAAAAATAAGGAAAAATGAGAAAATGGTAAAAGTCTTATTTCTTTATATGTCCTACAATGATAGGATGTAATTATAATGAAATCCAACAATGGACGGATATATTTATACTGAATCCCAACAATTATAGGATATAATTATATTGAAACCCAAAAATGATAGGATATAATTATACTGAAACCCAACAATGATAGGATGTAATTATATTGAAACCCAACAATGGACGGATATATCTATACTGAACCCAAACATTCTTCGGATATAATTATACTTAAACCCAACAATGATAGGATGTAATTATACTGAACCCAACAATGATCGGATATAATTATATTGAAACCCAATGATGGACAAATATATCTATGCTGACCCCAACAATTGTCGAATGTAACTATAGTGAACCCGATCAATCTTCGGATATAATTATACTGAAACCCAACAATGATCGGATACAACTATTCCTATTTCCAACAATGATCTAGGGGATATAATATCGTACAGAATCTTGACTTCAACACCTAGTAAATGTTCGAACATGGTAAAGGAATACAGATACTTGGATCAAAACATGCGTTTTTAAAACTAAAAATTCTGGGTTTTTTCTATAGAAAAGAAGATGCAGAGAGGTATTATACAATTTGATTATTTTAAAATTGGACCAAACCGAGGTACGCCTGGTATATCCCATTTCTGACAAGTGATGGAGATTAAAAAGGGAAAAAACAGGGACTAGGCGATATGATTAGGAGAAAATTGTTTTATGACACCTCAGCAACCATTACCCTGCTCATTCATGTGCAATAGCCCGACAGAATTCATAGAACCAGAAAATTTTAAATATTTTTAAATTCAACTTTTTTGCTCTTTTTCTCAGTCATCGGTCTGTTTTCTTAAATACCACTCTTAAATATTTTTGAAGGAAGAATCTTTGGGCAAACGTTTATTTTATAAGTAATTACTTTTCCTGGAGATTCTTGCGATTATAATATTTTATTATTAAATTTGAACGATGTATATATGGTGTGTGTGTGTATTGTTTCTGTGCGTATTGTGTCTGTGTGTGTATTGTGTCTGTGTGTGTATTGTGTCTGTGTGCGTATTGTGTCTGTGTGTGTATTGTGTCTGTGTGTGTATTGTGTCTGTGTATATTGTGTCTGTGTGTGTGTATGTGTATACGATTTGATCATATGGGATGATGATTTTTCAGCATTCAGTTAACTGAAGATGAGGATGATTTGGGAAGTTTTGGCTTATAAGTGGTAAATCAAACCTGACCAAATAGTTTTCACCATTACTAATTGCAGAAATGTGTATCTTGAAAACAGGGTGAATTCAGAATACACTGATGGTCAAACATCAGGAATAGATTGTATACATTAATAACAATTTCAAAATTTCTATGTTGATTTTTCTAAAATTGAGTAATTGTCGAGTTAACACCCTTTTATGTTTGTATGTGTGTGGTGTGTTTATGTGTGTGTCTGTGTATTGTGTGTAATCTAAAAATATCACTAATATTGAAATCCACATTCTGCATAAGACAAATATAAGAAATTAAACTAAAAACATACTTTCTACTGCGCATGCTGTTATGAAAAATATTGGTATACCTTGTCTCATGAGTAGGAAAACTTCTCAGCGTTTTCGCCAAATAAATATATACACCTCGTATGTTTCAGTTGTGCCATCAGTTTAAATACAAATTTTAAGAAAATAGTTAAGACAAATGTTTCAATATTGAGAGTGAAAATCAAATAACACATGCGATATATAAGGTAGGTGAATATAGTTGCACCAAGTTGCAGCTTTGCAGGACCTTGGTTTCTTCCTTCTTGGTGTTATAAACGTTTCCCGAGCGGGTTTCCATATTCAAAGCAAATAAATAAAAATAAATAAATAAATAAAAGTAAATAAAAATAAATTACCTTTTAAAGTTATTACGTTTATTTATTCATTGTGTTTCTCGTAGGTAGGGATCCGCCGTCTTAGTCTAGGTCCTCTCTCGCTCTAATAACCAATCAAGATATATGTACAATAAAATATTACAAAAGGAATGAAACTATTAAAAGGAATGATGATAATCTAAATAATCTGTTTTAAATAAATATTAAATATCATTGAATATTTTGAATATAAAGTAGGGCGTATTAAAATTGATGCAACAATATCAACAGCCTACATTATACATGAAATTCCATATATACAATAGTGTCTGTGGTTAACTAGCAAAAAACATCATGCCACATACATATTTCCACATACAGAACACTAAACGATAAAAGAGAGAAATTTGTTATTTTCTCCTTTATTTTGAATTTTATCATGGAAAATAGAATATTCTAGGATTTGAAATGGAAACATTTTCAGAAGAACACATGCGGTTTTAAAATAGAAAAATTATAAAAAGTTTATTCTCAAGTTGAAGAGAGAGAGGAAGAGGAAAAGCCAATTTGCTGCCGACATAATGTCATAATTTAGCTGTGGTTAATGTCTCTTTTTCAGCTGCGCTCTAATTTTCAGTCTCGACAACAAATCTATTGCCCCCGCTTTTGTCTGTCTTTTCTGGCAACATTTCTTGGACATTTCATTTTACAACCTTTATACTTAATGTAGCTTCTCAATCTTCTATGCCTTTCAACTCGAAATTTTAACGTAAAGGTTTCCAAGCGACTATTTCCTCTCATATATATATATATATAGAAATATATTTAATTAAATCGACATATATTAGATCAAAATATAATTTATTCACCAATATTTCAGTTGGCTTAACGCTAACCTTTTTCAAGGTATTATAACATACTAATGTCTGGAAAAAAAAACAATAGAAAAAAATAAAAAGGTCAGGTGTTGATATTAAAAATAAAAAAGCATATCCTGACCAGGAGCACATGTGCTTTTCAGAAGGCAGAGCGCCATCTGGTGGAACAGAATTCAAATAACAGCGCGAAACTATTTCGTGGATTGCTTTACTTGATTTATCAAGAAATTGGGTTGGCCAAATATCAGGGAACAGGGTAAATAAATATTTAGTTGATTTCTTATCCACCAGATGGCGATCTGCCTTCTGAAAAGCACTTGTGCTCCTGGTCAGGATATGCCTTTTTATTTTTAATATTAATGTGTGTCAACAAAAACTCAGCGCCACATAACGTTAATAGAATTAAGTTGGAAAAATATATTTTGCCTATATTCAATGGGGAGAAAAATATTGATGTATATATATTATGTACAAAATAAATTTTGTTAATATTCATTGTTGAAATGTAAGTTGAAATGAAAACTATTTTTCAATTTAATTCTATTGACGTTATTTGGCGCTGAGTTTGTTGTTGACACATACATATGTTATAATACCTTGAAAAAGGTTGGCGTTTAGCCAACTGAAATATTAATAAATAAATTATATATTGATCTAATATATGTCTTTTCTGTTAAAGATCTATTTATGGAATACTATAATTTCAAAATAGAAATATCTATTAGATAACACCAATGATATTCTTATCTGATTATGCCTTTTTAATTATATATTTAACTCAGTTAAATTTGATAAGATATGAAAATACCCTATTCATATAGTCTCTGATATACGTCTTAATATAGAGTTATATGTATATAGGTAGGTAGGTTTATCATACGTCAGGGCCAGTCGCCTGCCTATTGGTTCTCTACTGTCACATGACAGTAACCAGCCAATCAACGCTGAAGATAGTAAATCTCCTTATCTCAGGGGTTCCACACATCCAGGTGTTATTATCGCAAGGTTTTTGTCGTCTTATTTAAAGCTATTTTTTAATTAAATATAAAATGCCTTTATGAAAAGCTTTTATTATTTTGCACTGAAACGGAAAAAATAAATAATTTAGCTTCTGTCATTGAACAATTAGATTTATATGAGTGTGAAAATTGTTGGAGGACAATCATGGTGAATTTTGAACTTAATTCGATCTTAATGGAGCAACTGATTAGTGATTGTTTATATGGAAAAAAATAGTACAAAAGTGAAATTGTATTTTACCAATACTGGAATAATTAAAAATCAACGAATATTTGATAATTATTACGACAGATGGCGAAAGCCATCATCAATTTTAAGTTGCACGATCTGGATATGTATTTTTCTTGATTTTTTTTACACAGTTAAACCTATCTATAGCGCTCCCTCTTGGGACTCACCAAAATAGGGTGCTATAGAGAGGGGGTGCTATAGACAGGTCACTTTTCATGTAAAAATCGCATCGTACTGCGTATTTAAAATCGGGCGCTATAGAGAGGAAGGCGTTATTTAGAGG